ACCATACAATTCTCACTCTACAACTGAGTAAAAGGGGCTTTGATCAAAAGGTCATGATATACTATTATATTTCTGGTGGTGGATGAGTAATTATGCTTTTCTCTTTTTTAACCACTGAAATATTTTTCTTAAGCTGACTTGAAAGAGCAGATAAGCAATCCAGCAGTGGGCTAGATGGCTTTTAAAGTTTTAGGTTCTTTAAATTGGGACTACTGACTATGCTAAAGATCTGCTGGTATCTAAAAAGTGCAATGTTGAGCTTGCGGTATGAGTTTGGAGTTGAAATGTATTGTTTCTAGCAAAAATTATGTTTACACTGTTTATAAATGGCTATTGCTGTATACATTCATTTTGTAGATCTTTTATTATTTGTATTTACTTGGAGCCCTACAAAATATCTGAATCACAATAAAGTATTTTGACAGATTGTACATGCTGTCCTGATCAGTACTGTTTATGGAATAGGGAATTTATTGTTTAGAGCTTATCCCCAGTTCTTTGAATATAGTTCAATCAGATAGTTGCAAAACAAAGTATATTCAGTTAATACAAATAATAAAAGATCTAATGTAGCAATAGAAGGTAACAGTAGCTAAATCTCAAAATGAATTTATTCCTTTTGAAGCTTTTTAGACAATTTCACTAGTGATGCTCTGCACAGACATATATTATAAACATTTAAATTAAAAAACCTATTTTTAATGGCAATAACCTCTGTATTTTAAAGTATGAACGGGTCACTTAGAAATAAGAGTGCATATAGAAAGTCTATACAGCCCTATTAAAATGCTAGGATTTTGGGGGGAAATCAGACCAAGATAAATTACTTCAGAATTTTTTCCAACTTTTATCGAAAATACAAGTTGTACAATTCAATTGAAAAACTGAAATCTTTCAAGCGGGGGATAATTAAACATACAATAACATGGTTGCATAAGTGTGCACACCTTTAAACTAATAGTTGTTGAAGCACCATGGTTTTGCTGTAAGAGGCAACTGAATAAATGTCAAAATACCCTACTAGAACAGTTGAAAATGGGCCTAGTCACTTTTATCACTACTGTGTACTACTATTTAACCACAATTTGAATGTCATCAGTTAATTCTGAACATAGCCATATCCCTACTTATAGGAGTGTGTGTACCCTTATGCAACCATGTTATTGTAAGCTATTTCTCTCCCCCCAAATGTTTCAGTTTGCTTTTCAATTGAATTGTGCAGCTTATGTGTTATAATTAAAGGTAGAAAAAATTCTGAAATAATTTATCTTGCTCTGATTTTTTTACATCTTAAAAACCTGGCATTTTAACAGGGCTCTGTTTAACAGGACTTTCTAAAAGCACTGTATTTATTTATTTAGAAATTTATTTGCTGCTCATCTCGCATCCAACAACTGGGTGGCTTGCAACATAAAAACATTAAAAAACATTTAAATCATCATTTATAAAATAACACAAGAGATACAATCATTAAGACAAGATGGCAAAGGAGGGAGTGGATGTATGGGGAGAGGTGGGATTAAGTTTTATTTAGTCACATCCAGTGTGAAATTTCCTCTTTAGGTTCCCAAACCATCTGGCAGAGCCAGGTGTTAAGGTTCTAAGTCAGGAGGGTGGGAGCCAATCTCGCCTCAGTGGTAAGATGTTCAGAGGGCGGGTACCACAGCATAGAAGGCTCTTCTCCTAGATCCCACCAGCCAGAATTCCTTGACTGACAGGAGCTGTAGCATAATCCCTCTGCTGGCACGTGTGAGGTGGGCTAGTCTGATTGGGACGGTTCAAGTAGCTTGCACCCAATGCAGGGCTTTAAATGTATATACAGAATACTAGATCACTTCTATCTCCTCAAAACTAAGATCTAAGTGCCAGTAGACAATTTTCTAACCTCTTTGGAATCCTCTGGAGTAGTCATAACAATTACAATAAAAGCAAATTGTTAGAAGAAAGATTAAAACTCCAATTTTAAAACAATTCCGAAACTCCCTTCCGTGGGAACATCTTTCAGTGAATTCAATATTGTTTCACAAAAGCAAGATTGTATTAAGAACTATTATTTAACACCATAAACTTCAACAATACTTCTGTTATCTATCAAGAGCCATGGTGGTGCAGTGGTTAGAATGCAGTACAGCAGACTATTTCTACTGACTGCTGGCTACCAGCAGTTCGACAGTTCGAATCTAATGGGCTCAAGGTTCACTCTGTGTTCCATCTTTCTGAAGTGGGTAAAATGAGGACCCAGATTGTTGGGGGCAATAGGCTGCCTCTGTCAACCACTAGAGAGGGCTGTAAAGCACTGTGAAGTGGTATATAATTGCTATTGTTATTTCAATACCTCAGAATTCACTGGACAATATCAATTTACTTAACCATTCCAGCTTTTGTGATTGCTATATGCATTTTTCCATCAACTTTGCTTTAAAAGTATTAAGAGAAGAAAAGAAGATTGGTGCCTGAATTATTTTCTATTTTAAATCTATCCTTATTTCTCCAGTTACAAAAATTCAGCAGAGCAAGATTCTGTCACTACTGTACATTATTAAGCTGTAGAGTCCAGGCCCACTGATAGGGATATTTATTGAATGGTAACAGAGGTGCAGCCACCATCATTCCTTTTTCTCCCATAGAAATCCAGGGCAATGATTCTTCATATCCTATTAGTTTCACCTGAAATTTTAAAAAAAACTATTATAAATGGGAGGAAAGTAGGAAGAAAGCTTTTCAAATGAAAAATGGATTTGAAATAATTAGCTGTTTTCATGGATTACACAGAAACATGGTTTGAAGTACAATTTAAATTAAAAATACATTAATTGGGTTTCAATCCTGTAGTCTGCAATTCCCCCCCCCCCCGGAAATCTGTACAAATTCCCACACCATTCGAAGGGAGTTCATCACAATACATATAGCTAAATGTCTCTGTAGATTCTCAGTCATCCAGATGATGGTTATCCTAAAAGTACTTTCTTTCAAAAGGCAACTGGTTTTTCTTGAAGACGTTTCGCTTCTCATCCAAGAAGCTTCTTCAGTTCTGAATAAATGGTGGAGAATTGCAGACTACAGTATTGAGGTGACCCTGAGGGCACAGATAAACCTCCAAGTGGCTTCAATAACTTTCAGAAAGAGCTAACGACCACATGACTGCAAGGAAAATAAATCCTGCCATTCTCCACCATTCAGTCAGAACTAAAGAAGCTTCTTGGATGAGAAGCGAAACGTCTTCAAGCAAAACAAAGTCCAGTTGCCTTTTGAAAGAAAAGCACCTTTGGGGCAACTATGACAGGACGATTGAGAATCTCTACAGACCTAGAGCCACAAAAACAAACCGGGAATTTAAAAAGTATGGATCTCTCTCCATATACCATGCTCAGCCACAGTAGTAGTGGTGGTAGTCTAATGGCTATCTTGATTTGATAGTCTAAAACTGTTTTTTCATCCATCTTCCACATAGCATATTAACTAAAAAAACAAAAAACAAACCCCATTATATAAATTTAGCAGTGTTCTGCATATTTGCTTAAGTTTCATGCACAGAGATTGCTAAATTACACACCCAAATAAAGTTATAGGATGCCCCAGTCCTTTGAACTACTTCCACTGAAATAAAATTTGTTGTGGCTACAAGAGTATCAGGCATTTTTGATTTAAGCATACTTGAAAGAAGTCATTGTATCATGTGAACTTACTATTGCTACCCTGTGCTATTCTGGTCTTTGTCTCAGTGCTATGAAACTACTTATGGTTATGCTATTTGGTTCCTGAAACTTATTATACATTCTTATTTCCCATTTTGATTCCTGAAAGGAAATTTGAAGGTGGAGTAGGACATGGTGATAGAGATGAACAGTTGCATCAATTATCAGATGTTTCTGATTTATTGAAAGATCAGAGTTAGTTGTTGTACTTACATAGCTGTCTGACATAGCATGTTCCGTACGCTAGTGCTAACTATTTCACCAAAGATCCATCTAGAGCCTCGGAGGTGTAGTGGTTAGAGTGCTGTACTACAGGCCACTTCTACTGACTATCAGCTGCCTGCAATTTGGCAGTTCAAATCCCACCAGGCTCAAGGTTGACGCAGCCTTCCATCCTTCCCAGGTGGGTAAAATGAGAATCCAAATTGTTGGGGACAATAGGCTGACTCTAAAGCCACTTAGAGAGGGCTCTAAAGCACTATAAAGTGGTATATTAGTCTAAGTGCTATTGCTTGACAGTCCATCCTCACAAAACTAAGATAGACATAATAACCCCTATTCATTGGAAGAGTAAGTGGATCAATATGAAGAATCTATAGTTTGCAAGGAGGCTGCCTATGGGCATTTTCTGATGTCTTCACTATAGCCAGAATCACTTACCTTTGTTTCCCCAAGAATAGCTTTTGGTTCACCCAGCGTCAGAGTTCCGGAAGTTGGCCACTTAAGGAAAATGGCATACAGAATGTTTTCCTTTGGTTTGAATGTGTACCTGATGGGGATATTTTATTCTATTATATATGTTCAGTCTTTCAGAATAACCATCTTTCCGAGACCTCTGAGAAGTAACAGTAATAAAACTATAATATATATTTTAACATTAAGTTGCTTGCCTGGAACTAAGTATGATACTTAGTTTTTTGGGGAAAAGGAAAATCTAGGTGCAAAAAATAGCAGACTGCCCCCCTCCCTGCTTGTTATCCCAAATGGGGACAGTTGATGTATAAAGAGAGAATAAAATAAAGATTGAGTTTTGTGATGATTATTTCCACCAACAAATAATCTAATCGTCTACCAATACTTGGGTCATTAAATGTTCTAAAATTGTGTTTTTGTGAAGAAAAAAAATATTTTAAATAGCTTGCAGTTTATAGAAATGCTAATAACACCGAGACTGAAATATATGTACTAAAGTCCTAATAAGTAGCAGATTGGAGGTGATGGGAGCCAGGACATATTCTGGAACACATTATAGCAATCTAGGGTTGTTATCTTACATCAGGAAGGAAGCACATCTTGAAATCGCATCTTGAAACAGCAGTATCAGGAAGTGATTAATTTGGATCAGAATAAATAGTGTCCCTCCCTCATATATTTAGCCCTTATATCTACTTCTTTCAAAACATATTAGAGATCAAACAATGTACAAGTATGCATTAGCAATTGAGGTCTGTAACCAATAATCTATCAAGCCATATATAATCAATCCTACTGGAAACATCTAAATGTGTAAATCTCTCATTTTTACCATTAAATTTAACACTGAAACAAATAAGAAAGGCATGTTTCCTTTTAATTCAGTTAATTTTAAATGCAGCTTTTAATCTAATCATTACTGCTCTGCACATTCTTATTTCTGACAGAATTTTTAAAAACTGTTATCTGCAAGTTGATGTTTCCAGAGCACTTTCAACTAAGGAAATGTTGAGCAGCAAGTTTTTTGTATGTTCAAAGGCAAAGCAAATGTGAATAATAGGAAATTGTAATTGCTCATCTTCAGCTGAGCATCTATTATATTTTGGTTGCCTCCCTCTTCTGCAGCCATTTAAATATAAAAATTCAGGTGCAATCTTAACACAATTTAACAACATAACCCTTTGTGTAGGATTGCAATGTAAGGCCCAGGTTGCTCACAAGTAAATCTGGTTCAGTTTAAACATGTTTAAGACTGCTTAGTTACTTTAATATTGTTCCAGATAACTGATTTCATGAACTCACCAGACTCCTGGTGTTATGCTATCATGTTGGGCTCTCCAAGGTTTAGTGCTGAAAACAGCTTCACCGTTCAATGCCAACCAAGTCCCCATTTGCTTCAGACGCTCTTCAAATATAATAGGAATGCGACCATCATGGGTGGGCCCAATATTCACCAAAAGATTTCCTCCACATGCTACTGTCTCTACAAGTTGCTGAAACAATTTAGGAAAATTATCAATACAAGATTCTAAAATTCAAAACATCTGTTTGAGTTTTTCCAGTGTAAATCAGTATTTCTGTTATAATGCTGCCAGTGCACTGCTGTTGGTTGAAGGAAAGTACAACTATTCAAGTGGAGTTGCCAATTCTATGAATCACTACAAACTTCTTATTCATGAGCTCATCAACATCCTATTCTGTACTTTACATTGTCCTTTTGCCCTATGTGTGGCATTGGTCAGTTCTGTTCATTACCTAAGAGATCAAGTCTCTTTCATCTCCTGGTGTTTCCTTTTTCTAATTTGGCTGAAGAACAGGTCTATGTTCCAGAGCAGGGGTGTCAAACTCACGCCGTCATGGCAGCATCATGTGACGTATCACAACTTTTTTTCCTTCGCTAAACCGGGTGTGTGCGTGGCCAGTGCGTGATGCATCTGGCCCATGGGCCGCGAGTTTGACAGCCCTGTTCTAGAGGGAGACACATATAGCAGATTACTTACAGATTACAACTGCGAAGTTCCCATCCCTATATCTGTTTAAAATCCACTGAATTCATAAAAAAGTTAACTGGTAAAAACTTAATATTTTAAGCATTTGTACAGCTTCTTTCCAAGGCTGAAATTATGAAATTACAGAATAACATATTCAGGATTATGAGGAGCTTCTTCTAGTACTTCCAATTTGCTCAAAGAAATAACCTCAGGGCTTCTGATGAGAGAACTTTGTTTCTTATTGGAATTGACCTGATGAGTGAACACAAAATAAATTTCTAGTACAGTGTCTTAAATCATAGAACTTTAAACAAACAGAGGTGATACAGGCTAGATCATACATTGAGCTAAGCCAATTTAAGCTTACTTGCTTTGATTTTATGAACCAAGACATTGTAATTTTTGTTCCATGATATATAGTTCAGTGCAATGTTTAAAAGATCAGGTTTTGAATGGATGTGGAATTGGCTTGCAAAAACTGACTGAATATATTCTTGCTTCTTTTTGCATTTGAGAAAACCAATCACATAATATTCTGGCTTAAATTTTGTAATGTGATATCAATAAGAGAATGGTTCAAAATTAGATTGTATAATACCTACATCCTGTATTTGTAAAGTTTCTCATACAAATGAAAGAAACAAGCCAAAACAGAAAGAATAAAATGTGAAATGAAACTGGGGAGAAAAGATGATAAGGCAGTGAAAAGATGGGAAATATTCGCCTTTAAGTACTTTTTGCAATCTCTAGGATAACACACTGTGGGGTTTAATTATTTATAAATTAGTTTATAATCAGTGTTGATTCTTATTCACCATATATCCAGGATAATCTATCCGCAACCTACTCCTTCTAGTCTTCCAATGGTGAAGCCATTGCTGTAAATGATTCCATCCACCTTACTGCTAGTCATCCTGTGTCCCAACATTATAGACTTCTCCAAAGCACTAGATCTTGGATTACTCTTATCAATCCGAGGCTAGTGATTTGTGCCCCAAGTGGAAACTTTGGGTTCATTTTTTTGATGATCTATCTGTTTGTTCTCTTTGCTAACCACAGAATTTTTAAGACTTTTACAACACTGAAATTTGAAAATACCAATACTCCTTCTAGCCTACTTGTTTAAATTACAATTTTCACTTCCACTAGTAAACCTTCATTTCTTACAGAGAAAAACACTGCCTGCACTGTAGATAACTGTAGATAGAAACACGCTCTAGCATATGAATGTATTTTCCAAGGCCTTTATTGCTACTCTACCAAATGCAAATCTGTGACTTATTTCTGCTGGTCCTGGAACAGTTGATAATTGATCCTAAAAGACAGAAGCTATCCATTCTCTTCACTGTCCATTCTGAGACTCGTTCTATACCTGTCATCTTTAATTTTAGTCCCATTTTTTCATTGTGCTCTTGAATTTTTATTACTATAGCTTGTAGGTCCTGTGTTTTCACCTATCAGAAAAATATCATCAGCTTGGGGCAGATTAGTGATACGTCTTCCTCCAATTGTAAAACCACATTTATTTTCTTCCAATCCAGCTATCCTTAATATCAGGGACATGCAGTCACTAGAGGCAGGGGAGGCGAGGCCTC